TGGGGCTTTTTGTATGCCTGTCCCCTCATGTTTTAGTCCTGAGAGCTGTGTGGTTCAGGACCTTACCCAGGAGGCAGGATATGTAGGTGTTAAGCTCTCCCCTCCCTGAAATGGAGCTGTACCTACCTCTGGTTAGCTTCCCAGCCCTGTACTCTAACCACCGTGCTGAAGGGCAGGCATTATCTCTAGCCCTCTAATTCTTGTTTCACTTTGCACTTGCCTTTACTAATTGTTTGAAGGAACTAGAGGCACACTGTCTGCATTGTGTATTTTTAGCATTGCAAATGATAGGAAAATGAGCAAGCTAGCAAAACAGCAGTGTGAATGACAGGCGCTCCTTCCACCTGGACAGTGTTGTAAGTCCAGCCATTGTAAAAGAAAAGAGTTGTATAACTGGGAACTTCCCTATTTGTCGCAATCGGGAGGCAGAACAAATCACTATTCTTAAAGCCCTCTTCCGGCCAAAAACCACATCTGAACAGCATGGACAGCACCTCTTGAAGGGCATTGTAGTTGTCTGAGCACATCTTTTGGGAAAATTTGATACCAGAAGCTACAGCCTCTGACAGACCGCATGGTTCAAGTCAAGCAGGGAATGCACTTATGGAAATAAGGATTTGAGGGGGGGGGGGGGGGGCTAGAAAGACTTACTGCAGCCCTCAACAGCGATCACACCCAACAACTATAGTATCACTGTTTTAAGTTGGGATGTTTTAATGGAGGTGTGGGATCTACAATCTCAGCACATGGAGTGACCTGCAGCTACTACATAGGCAACAGAGAAGATGAACAGAAGTGACCTACTGCTCCTCACCCGCTGCACAATTTGGGGCCAGAAAACCCACAAGATATGTCGCATGACTGGGTCATAGTTCATAGTTCCCATTTTCTGCTCTTGTGAAATAGTTCCCATTTTCTGCTCTTGTGTCATAGTTCCCATTTTCTGCTCTACTGACCTCCATTCCTGTGTGTATTTTTTTTAACTCAATACCAGCAATAGTAAGCAAACAGCACCCAACATCAGCACTTCAATGTAAACACTTCGGTGTTACAGGTATCACCGTGTAGCATTTTTCTCAAAACATGGGATGCGAAATAAATCAGACTAAGCCACAAACCTGCTGACACTATTTTTTTCAGAATCAAAAACGAGGTTAGAAAGGCACACTAACAATTTCCAGTATCTGATCAGGTGTGAGTAATGACTTGTCTTATTTAAATACCAATTTTCCCCTAGAAGTTCAGTGCAGCTGGAGGTGATTTGCTGGGCTACATCTTGTGTTTATCTCCTTTGAGATAGTAACAAAGCTGTTGCATTGATTAGGTTGCTCAGTTATTTAGGGAAGCAGGGAAGGGAGGGGGAAATCCAGATTTGTATTTTGGACAACCTGAGTAATGAGACTGACAGTGTGGTTTTTTTGTTCTTTTTGCACAGATATTTTGCAAACAAGTAGTCACCTTCCCTGCATGGGTGAAATTCTGCAGAAATGGTTCAGTATTGCAAATAGTGGTTCAGTTCTCCCAATGCTTGCAGTGTTGAGAGACCTAATGCAGGTGTATTGGCATGATCCATAACTATGATCTAACTATACTCAGAGTTGGGATAAGCAACACAGGGCATTGAATTCCAGCGGCAAATATGTTGCTGGGGACAAAAATGTGGTGTTTTAACTGACAGCTAACTAAGATGCACTGGGTATTTTACTGTAAGACATGGTGGAGAAAAAGCACTTTACTATAAGGCAAACTAAGAAAAGTCAACCCTAGGCAGGGGTTATAGTACTGACTCATATCGTGCTTGTCCACAATGCTGCTGCTACCACAGCTGTGTTGGTAAATCCTCTAGTGGAGATGAGTACATGGTGGTAGACGGTAGAAAGGATTTTCCTGCCTACAGAGCTTCCCACCTCTCTCCAGTGATAGATGGGGCTTTTGTTAGCAGAGGTGCATCAGCTCAGGGCATGATTTTTTCATACCCCCAGCCTGGCACAGCTAAGTGGGCAGAACTGCATTGTAGGCTAAGCCTTAGTTACCTTCCCAGACATTTCAGATGTCTTGTCTTCACTCAGGAGTGACAGCAAGACAGCGTTCATACATTAGTTATCTTGCAAAAAACCCACCTGTGTCAGTGCAGACAAACCCTAGCACTGCCAGCATTGCTAATATTTCTGTGGCGTGTACCCAGCTTTAGTATAACGTAAAGCTATGACTCTCTATGACTGTGGGCTGAGGAACAGTCTGGTCAGTGGCTTGTATCAGGCTCCAATGCTATAAATGTTTATAGCATTTTCAACACCAGTTTGATAGAGTTTCATAGTTGTCTGTGAGAAGTAAGGACAAGGTAGCACCTTCGTGGCCAACTGGTGCTACCCTGTACCTGCCTTCAGATTAACATGACTAATCACCTCTCTATTCATGGTTGTCTCTGAGAAATGTTAAGGTCCATTGGCCCAAAAGGTTCCAGACCCAATGGTCTAGACCAGGGTTAGGCAACCCCTGGCATGGGTGCCAGACTGCAGCACACAAGGGCATTTTGGTTGGCATGCACACCTTGGGTGGACAGTGGGAAAGGTCCCACTGCACTGCCACCCCAAGGACTGCATCTCTTGTGATTCCCCTGCCATCCACCCCTGACATGCCAACATCTTTAAAAATCAAGGTTGTGGGTGTTTTTGGTACTCTGCCCAAAAATGTTGCCAACCCCTGGTCTAGGCTGTACTTGATGCCAATACAACTCCAGTTGGTTTGATAATCCATTCTGGAAACCTATAGAGAGTAATGGAAAAGCATGAAGTACTGAGCAAGTTTGAAGCAAACCAGCTAAGCATTTGCAGGTTAAGCTTCCAATCAGGGCTTCTGCACTGGGCAAACAGTAACTTTCTGTTATTCCTATGATGAATACTTCGTATGAATTATAGTGAAAAGAATGATCAGAACTAAGGTCCTGGCTCCATACTTAACTTTACAGATATGAGTAATGCAAAGGGCTTTTGATGGGGATGACTCATAGCTGTAACCATAGACATGTGTGAGCGTTTTGCATGATCAGGGCTTAGCTAATTTCCCTTTTGCCTCTGCATAGCAATTTATGCTCTGTGCAGCAATCTTTGCCTTTGTGGAGCTGACTGGTGAATTGGCATCCTAGTTAATTTTTCCTTCTTGAAAGGTATCCTTATATAGAAAAACCAGCAACATTTTTTTTGTTTTGTAAAAGATTATTTTGTGCTTCAGACAATCGGGACGTGCTATTTAAAGGGGGAATCTATTGGAAACTGTTTTGGGTTTTTTTTGAATGGGCAGTTTATAAAACATTGGTGGATTAAATTAAGAGCGCTCTTTTAAGGCGCTTCCTATCAAGGGAAATGTGCTGTAGCTTGTAAAGGGCTACAGCACTGGTCATATGGCTGCTCAGGGTGGGTAACAATGAGGAAGGTACCTCGAAGGAGAGTTAAACTTTGTAGTGGTAAAATTGCTTCCATTAGGAGACTTGAGGTACTTAGTGAACAGCTGTCTGCTTGTTTTCCACCTCCCCTCTTGGAAATCCTCATGGGTGCAGGTTTCTGGTGCTTCTTCCCATCTAATGATTCCTGCAGGGGCTGATGAGAGTCTAGCTCTGCTCCACTGGCCAGCCACCAGCAAGCTGGGTTGGCAACTTCTAAATGTCTGAGCTAGTCTTAGTTAAGCAAGCAGGCTGCATGCAGAGCAGGGTTAAATGGCACTGAGCTGTTTATGCCAGGGGTTATCTGCTGGTAGAGGACTGACGTGGGTAGAAAGACCTGAATGAACGCCCCAGGGAAACTGTAGGACAGTGTAGGAGGACTCTCCAAAAATGAGCTCAGCAAAGCGTGCTCCTAGCTTCCTCCACCCTGCAAATCAGGTGCTTTCTCCACCCTGCAAATCAAGGTCTCATTTCATTTTGTAATGCACATTTCTTCCAGCCAAGCACATGTGCCTGGTTCTACATTCCCACAAACAGGTGCTAGGGGTTTTCAGTGCAGGGGGGTTTGCATGAGGATACGTTCTGCAATATGTGCTAAGCCTGCAAGAGACCCAGGGGCGGCTGCATCTCTTCCATGCCCAGCTACAGCAGGGGAGGCCGGGGATTATTGGCCTCATGTCCCAAATTGATTTGGGTTTTGCTCGTCTGATTATTTAGTGGTAAAATAATACAGTCCTGAGCACAGGGCCTTAAAACCACTAATGCTTGAACTGTTTCTTTTTCCTAACAATGCTCATAATGTTGAACTTCTGGAAGCTCTACCAAGGAAGCATCTGTTCAAAGGGCTCATGCATTGTGAATGTGTTATCACTCTGGGATGTGGATCTGTGAAACAAACATTAGGTGACTGTGTCTTACATCACATCCAAGTAGAGACACTCGCACATGTGTAAAATAAATGGTATGTTCAAGATGTCCGTTTCCAGACTACCTAAGAAGAATGAATTAATATTGGACATCAAGAGTCCAAAATCTGCCATATCAGTACTTCACTAACTTCCCATTAGAGGAATGTTATATCTGACTTTGCTCCAAATTAAAGAAAAGATGTATAATGAGATGTTCTGCTTAGTTTATAACACAGAAGTGAAACAGAAATGTATTGTACCATTGGAAAACAGAGTCCTCTCTAGGTATGGAACCTTATTAGATTTAGAAGTGACAGAAATAATCTGGAAGTGTTTTAAGCAGCATGGGAAATAAAAGTTGAGTTGCAAAGATGTCTACCCATAGAGGCGAGCAAATTAGAAGCTGAGGGCCAGGGAATGGGGTAACTCTATGGGTAGACATATATCGCAACTCAAGTTCATCTGCCAAAGCAAGTGTTGAGGAATGAAGGTAGGATCCTCATGGGGGTTACAGGTCATTTGTGGAGTCTCAATCTTGAGGCAGTAATAAAAAAGGAATAAGGGGTGTTTTTTTACAATTTTGTCGCATTATTAGTAAATAACAAAATCCTCTGTCTCTGTGTGTCTGTCTGTCTCTCTCTTTTTGTTTTTAGCCACATAATAAATGAGCTGATAGAAACCGAACGGGTTTACGTAGAAGAACTACAAAGTATAATAGAGGTAAGGTGGAAGTTTCTGCTACCAGACTTCCAGTGTTTGTCTTTTGGGGAGTTTACAACTGAGCAGGAAGCCCACTATCCCTGGAATGAAAGTTGTGGTGTATACTGCATCTGTGAGAGGTGCTGGGTTCAATCAGCTCCCCTCCTTGCTTAGAGCACATGGTGTTTCTATGATCAGGCATTTCACCTAGCGGCGGACAATTAGGGATATCCTGCATATTTTAACTCAGGAGTTAGATTAGGGAGTGACCATTGTACTCCATTTCTGTTCTGCCTGCAGAACAGGGGAGCTGGCCAGGTTTCTCATAACACGATCAGCAGTATTGTCCTGTTTCCTGTGACCTGGCGTGCAACTTCATTGTGCAAAACTTTAGAAAACGGCTTTTCTGCAAACAATCTGAGCATGGCTGTGGAAAAGTAATCCTCCACCCTCCCAGCCCAGTGTCTACGTGCACAGCAGAGCAACTATACAGTCATTCCACTACTGCCAATACGGTCCATGGGCATTTAATAACAGCTGGTATCTTTGTATGTTCTCTGCATGTGTGCTTGGGCCCATGGGTCCATATAGGGTCAGATCTACTGGCTTCTCAGAGAAGCTCTTCTCCATTGGGGTGCTAGGCATTAAAAGGTCAATCTTTTCTTTGGTCCACAGTGGCCTGCCTTTGGCAGCCCTCAGGGGAGGTGTGGCAAGGGACACCTTTACATTCTTGTCTATTAAGATGGGTGTTGATTAGAATAGGTGGTGGTGTGCAGTTCAGAGGATTGTATCTGAGATCAATTAATTTTTCCCTATGTCCTGGGAGGGTCACTCTGAAGAAAATCCTGCACACCTGGCTTGCTTGGGCTAAATCTGGAAATGCAGCACTGAGGCCATCCTAGGGGGCACCCCATCCATCAGCCACCTGTTCTCTGCCTCTAACATGCTTGAGTGCTGTGGCAGAGGTGTCCCCCTGAGTGTCCATGCCACCACGTGTCTAGGTTTGATGATGCCAGCAGGGAAAGATGGCCAGTGAGCAGTCCCCACCAGCAGCGCCTGGGATGTTGTGCGGAAAGGCTTCCTTGGATGCGGTGCGTGATTTGACTTGACTTGACTTGACTTGACCGACAAGTCTATCGATTCATTCATGAGTGTATGAACAAACTAACCTCTCCTTCTGTATGGTGACCACGGGACTCCAGGAGTTTTGCAATACTTGGTCCTTTCCATTTGCCCAGAGCAGCCAGATATGGACTCTTAGACCATTGTAGCATTCTGTCTGCAGACTCGGCACCATCCCATTGAGGGACTGGACCATAGTTTCACCATCCTAAGAGCTAGAAACTCCGTGAAAACTTAGAATCAACAGACACCGATGGGATCACTAGAGAAGTGACACTGTGGGAAGGCACTGTGATCCAGCTCTTTTTGGTCTTTTATTTACTTAAAACAACAATTCTCACCTGGGGTGCTACAGGATCCTTTCAGGGGTGCCGGGCCACCATACTGCTTCCAGAAACAGAAGTGCATGGGGCAGCTTTGCCTGCCCCATGTGCCTGTCTTTCTGGGAGACACTGTGTGGGGTTGAACCAAGAAGGGTTAGCAAGCACCTACTCTGGATACTTTCAAAAACCACTTGGATGCCTATCTTGCTGGGATCATTTGACCTCCGCTGACTTCCTGCCCTGGGTCAGGGGGGCTGGATCCAATGATCTTGCGAGGTCCCTTCCAGCCCTAATGTCTATGAAATCTATGAAACCTAAGGGTTGCAAGAAGAAGAGGTGCTCCTGCCTGCTGTAGGTTTATCAGATAACCCTAATGGAGGCAGGGATGTTTGCTCATACCAGAGGCCTTCCCAGTCTGGCTGTGCACAAGGTACTTGGGGCACTTTTACCTGGTGGCTGTGGTCGATGTCTGTAGCAGCACCTAATTGAGAACTGCTGAGGTAAGATGAAGCAGCACAACCCTGGCTGGCAACTGGGGTGCCACCAAATTAAAAAAAAAAACAAAAAAAAGGTAGGGAGCATGTCCTGAATCTAAAAGTGCTGAGAATTACTGATTTAAAAATAAAGAACAGATCAAATTTGCAATTTGCAGGCGGGTTTGTGTGATAATGAGCAATAGCTGGCTATAGTCTCATCATACTGAAGATCTTATCGTAGTGGATGCAGCAGTGTTTACCTTCCCTGGTAAAAATAGCCTTTTTTCTTTTTTCAATCTCCACAGGGCTATGCTTCAGAGATGGACAATCCTGACTTGATGCATCTGATCCCATCTGCTCTTCAGAACAAAAAAGAAGTTCTTTTTGGGAACCTTCCTGAAATCTATGACTTTCACAACAGGCATGTGTTTACTACCTCATAGTCCGTGCTCTAATAACATACTACAGTAGTTCTTATACTCTTTATACTGAATGCTTTATCACTACTTCAAGTGAGCAGGCAAGAAGAGTAGCTCTCCCCTTGCCTGGTCTTGCATCTCTAATAGAATCTGTCAGTGGATCCTAATTCATCTCCCTGCCCCTGTAGGTTCGTACCCTGTTGTAGTAGCAATTGTCTTGTCCCTTATGACTGGGCTTTTATTGCTTCCCTGAGAGCACTGGGAGATATAATGGGACCAAATCTTGCAGTCCTTTCTCAGACAGGAATCCCATTTTTTACTGCTGGCAGGAAGTTTTTTCTCCCTGATATTCAGCTTGGTTTTTCCTCTTATGTCATCGTATTCCCAATCACTACAATTCTTTAAATAAGTGAATCAGGCAGAAGATGTACAAGAGGGTTGAACAAAACAAAGTCTTTCCTCTTTTCCAAAGTAGAGCTACTGCTCAGGTAAAAGTCCTTGTTGTCCAGCTTTATCCATCTTGTTAAAATAGTGGTTCTTCCCCTTCTGAGGTTGCACTAGGTGAGGGGTGCTCATCCTTCCCGTAAGCATGGGTAGGGGGGGTAGGTGCCACCTTACCCTACTTTAGGGTGGCCATCATAGAAGACAGTCTGGTTTTCTGTTACTCTGTCCTCTATTGATACAAAACCCAATGCCTTGATATGAAACCGGACTCTTTTATGTCCTCTCAAGAGAAATAGAGAGGACATAAAGGCGTCCAGTTTCATATCAACGGAGAATAGAGGACAACCGGACTGCCCTGTATGATGGCCACCATACCCTACTTTCTCCTTTCAGCCTGGTGTCTTTCCCAATTAAAGGCCTGATTCAAAGACCTTTGAAGTCAATGGAAGGACTCTTTAATAGACTTTGGGTCAGGGCCCAAACTCACACATATAGAGCAACTGGGTTAGATGATTAGTTGACCTGTTGACTTCAGTAGTGTGCGCTCTTTATCCCTTTGCCCACTTGCTAATCTGCCCTTCTACTTTAGCAGGCCCAAATTAGAAGCAGAAGGCTGGGCTGCCAAGCGGAGACTGAAACCCAGGAACTATGGGTCCCAGATTGGTCCTGTAATGGATAGATTAAAGCACAGTGCCATACCTGGCTGATTTGGGCACTGGACTTGAAGCGCCAGCCCAGCTCTCCAATAATGCCTTTCTCTAGGATTCAGGATCAGGGCCAGGATCTTTCTCATTAATCCCACTTGAAAGCAAACCGAGCACCTAATTCTGGATTTAGATGGGAACTGACACATAATGCAAATGTCTCAGTCTTTTATGAATCACTTTCCTTTCTTCTCAGAATTTTCCTCAAGGAGCTGGAAAATTGTGTTGAAAACCCTGAGCTGCTTGGCCGATGCTTTTTAAAAAGAGTAAGTACGTGCTGCACCTGTGCAAAATAAAGAACCTTCTCCTACAGCACTTGCATAATTATTCTTGCCCGTCCTCATAGGAGGCATCCCATTCACGTCCATGGGATGGCGTGTGTGAATGAGGAATACTCATGTGGGAACAGGCTGCCAATTGAGCCCTGGTTTGAGAAAAGCGGATGCTATTAATAATGGTGTGGTCTAGATACTAGTCTTTTGACTGGCTTCAGCGAAAGGAAGGCACCCTTTTATCTTAGCAGTGGCTTATTTTTGTCTTAGCCCTTGTGTTTTAAAACCTGGTAAAAAAAATAGGGTAAATTTTTGCTCTGACATTCACATCAACTAGCTCTGCTCACCTCATGCATAATCCGACCACAGGTGAGGAGGACCATATCACTGCAGATCCTCTGGCCTTGCCTATACTCCACTCCGGGGGAAGGGGGCAATCTGTGCAACTAATCAGCCCTACACCCTCCCTGGTGCCACTCAGTTGCCTTTCCCCTGCCTGATCTTGCTGCGCTTCTTCCTGCTCTGTGCTCTCTGCCTGGTCTCCTGCTTTGCTTTTCTGATGCCGGCCCTGTGCTCTTCGCCTGATCTGCTGCTCTGCCGTCTGCTTCCTGCCTGATCTGCTGCTGTACAGCCTGCCCCCTCCCTGATCTGTTGCTTGCCACACATGCAGGACACCCATGCCGCATGTGGCGCTTGTGCCGCAGGTTGGCCACCCCTGCCCCACCCTCCCTATCTCCAGGGAACTGAGCTCTGCACCAGGCTGGGGACCCTGTCATGAGTCCAGATCCCCCTCACACACAGTGGAAGCACCCCATCTCCTCAGCCTGCTCTTTTGAAAGCTAGATGAGGGCAGTACCCAGCTTTTATTTGCTCAGAGCATGAAGTAATCTGTGGGAGATCTTCCCACTGGTGAGTTAGAGAGGGTTTCCTGCATTTCTTGGTAATGGGCTGTCTAACCCTGTGGAGTCAGCCCCATTACTGAAAGGTCCAAAACTAAAGGGCCGAGCTATTTCATTGTATTGGGCAGTGCAGAATGTATCCCTTGTAGCCACATCCGCCTTGGAGGTATATACCAAGGTGCAGAATGCATTAAGAAAATGACTTCTCTCTGCAAAGCACTTGTAATATCCAGTCTGCCAAGACTTTGCAGTACCCCCAAGCCTTGCATCCTTATTATTGTTCCAAGCGGTATGTCAAAAGCTTGTGCTAAAAGGGCTGGTCTGCTGGATTACCGCTGATTATGTTCTTGTTCTACCCAGCTCACAAAGTGCAGGGGCTTGCATTCAGAAACAGATAAAAGTGACTTGCATCTCCTAAGCCCAGAGGCTGGTGTGATCTGATCTGTGGTTCTCACTTGCTACTTTTTTGGTTCTACTTTCTGCTTTCTTGGTTACTGGAGGTCTGTCTGGCCTGTTGGCATGTGATAAAACATTTATATTCCTGAAGCAAACAGACCATTAGGTTTGCTTTAACAGACCATTAACTGCCTTTTACTGCATAGTTAAACCTAACATGCATGGCCTTTCACAGTAATCAGGAACAATGTGTGTGATGGCAAAAGCCTGGCTTCTCTGAAGAAGAATGAAAAATAGTTAAGTAGATTAAAACATGCTAGATGTAAAGCTTCCTAGTTTATTAAAAATAGTGGGGGGAACGGACAAAGAAAAAGGCATTGGAAACAATTGAACATTTTTCTTGTCCAAAGTAGTTCTCCTTCTTAATGGGCCAAATGGCTCAATCCTTTACTAGAGCCTGCAGTCCTGGTTTGTGCAAGTATTTCCATTAAAGTCAAAGGAACTACTCGCACAAGTTAAGTTTTTGCGTAACTGGATCCAAATGAGTTCTATACCATTTACGGCATACAGCTCCTTTGGTAGAGACCTTAAAAGCCAGGAGGGCATCTTCTTTATATAGTGATTAAAGATCCTCTGGTGTCTTTCATAAGAGACAAGGTTTGCCCCATTGTCTGTCTCCAGCTCTCTGATATCGGTCTGTCCATTGCACTGCACCCTAGAAGCAGCTGCATTTTTCTGGTGCACGAAGGAATTCCTTTATGATGGACTATATCACTACTAAAATGGTTGAAACATACCCATTTTGATGATCAAAAGCCCTGAGCACCCATCCTTTCCACCAATTTAAAGTGGACCTATGTGTACTCAGACCCTGCATTTACACTGCGTAGAGCAAGCCCTTCTCTATTTAAAATAGGCCTTGATTCTCCCCCTTCTTACACCAGTCCAGATCCATGGTTTCTCTGGGCGGGGACGTGAATAGAAATCAGGCCTTTTGTCTCCTCTGCCTGGCAGCTTCTGTGAACCAGTCAGATAAAACAGCTAAACCACCCTTTGAATGAGAGGCTAAATCAGACGTTTGCTTCACTCCATAATTCAAGCCAGGAGCTAAGAAAGCAAAGCCTTGCTCCCTTGAGAACTGCTCACCACCACAGTACTGCCTTTGATTTGAGGACTTTCCCCAATATGCTGTTTTTAGACGGAGCCGCGTGAGCCCCGACGAGGTGCCGTTTCTGTTGCACAGCGCCTGGGAGACCCGAACAAAAGCCTGGTTGTGTGTTTGTGTTCCCTGCAAGCTGGCAGCCTTTCACTTCTTCCCGCTGAGCAAGGGCTTCTGACTCAGCCTCAGTGTTACGACTGTGTTTGCTTTGGCACAGGGGAAAAGTTGAAAGGCCTGCTGTTGAAAAGGCCAACTCTGGGTGGAAGTGAACATTGTCTCAGTTCTTAACCGTTTCTCAGACAATTCATAGGACCAGTACCCGATCCCCAGCAGTCAGTGGGAAAACTTGCATTGACCGCATAAGGGAGGGGCAGGATGAAAGACCAGATTATGTGCAGCTCTTTCATGTAGCAAGCAAACCTTTCAAGCACGCCTGCAGTTCATTAGCTGCATTAAAATAATAGGATCCCTCCGCTTTGTCCATGAATGGATGTGAGTCTCGCTCTTTTGTTACTGAAGTGGCACAATGGGGCTAGCAGGACATTGTGTGGGCAAATAAAGCGCGGCAGGATTGGGCTATAAAGTGTTTACCGATGGTTGTTTTGCAGCCAGAACGTGCTGATTCACTGCTGCCTTTCTCCCGCATTGGTCTGGCATGACCTCACTGAGATGAATGCTTCTTCAGGCAAGGTGATGCTGGGATCGATCAAAACCAGTGAGAATAGTTGTAAACTGCAGTCCTTGTTAGAACGGCCTCTTTGGCCCTGTCTGACCGCACCTGGACTTTCAGCCCTGTTTTGGTAACTGGTGAAAAACACCATCACCTTCTAATCCAGGTTACAAGCAAGATGGCTTGGTTTGTGTCCGCAGACCGGCTTTTGTGTCATTGCAAGGGTGTGGGCGCGTCCACAGCATCTGTACGGTCCACTCGGAGAGAGTCTGGACAGGTGTCACATAATAGATTGGATCAAAGTGAAGTTCTCCGGCAGAACAGGTAAAGCCTAATCAGCACGTGGTAGACTGTCCGGTGCAAAGCGCTCTGACACCAGTTTAGCAAAGCACAGGATTCAGAGTGAAATTGGACTACTTGTGTGCTTAAAGTGAAGCAGAAGCTGAAGTGCTTGTCTGGGTTAGGGCCACAGCACTGAGCGCTTGGCAGATTGATCCCACAAAGCAGCACCCGCTGCAAGTGGGACAGCACACTCTGGGATGATGCACTACCGCTGTTTCTTCCCAAAGCCTGTTGAGGATGCTCCACAATCAGTGTGCAGAGCTGCCTACCACCATGCAAACCTAGGCCCCAGGCAAGGGTAAAAGACTGGATCGCCACTGTGCTAGGTTAGGATGCATATTTAAAGCCAGCTGTGTTATTGACTGGTTCACGTGCAAGGATCAAGAGAGCCTGACCCCGGGAAGATTGAGCAGAGGTGGAAGGTAGTCAGCATTTTGCAGGACCCTGCTCAGATCCTGGTGTGATTGAGCACTTTTAGTGTTAATATTGCCAGGCCTGGAAAGAAAGGAAAATTTAAGAGGAATTGGTGACTACAGCACTTGGCCAGCTGAGAGACGGAGCACTTAAGAAATTAAGCTCTTTGTGAAAGCTTTGTGGCAATTCTTGAACCTTCCAGCTATACGCTAAAGGCCAAATTTCTACCCTCAAATATATAAACTCATCAGCTTCCAATCTATTTAATGGAGTTGGGCATATGTGCTCTGGAAACAGCACAAATATTTGTGAAGCTTTTTGAGGTCCCTGAGTGGAACACACCATAGAATTGCAAAGCACTCGGGATACAGGGGCCGGGAGCGTGGTAGAAATGCACTTGCAGGTAGTGGGAAGCCTTGGATCTGCACTCTCCAGAGCTGTGTTGGTGCTGAAGGTCTTGATCTGAATCTGGAGCAAGGCCCATCTCTAATTCTTTCCCCAAGAAATCCCTATTCCTCTGTTTTCAGGATGCAGGACCCTTCTCTGAGCTTGCCATGCCTTGGCACATTCAGAGCTCTAGCTTTGCCCAGGAAGGTGCTACATGAGGGGAAGTGACCTGTCAGTTAATTGTTGTTGTCCCCTCATTTTTCTCCAGTTTAAACGCAACCTTTTGGGGTACACTGATACAGATTTTCTTGTGCAATACCGATAGCCAACGATTAGCCAACTGTATCAGCTGATGCCGATCCAATAACTGATATTTAGTAATAGTGCAAGGCATTTTAAACTACTAACATAAATACATCTTTTTTGTTTGTTTGTTTTGCATTTAACACACACACGCACGCACGCATGCACGCACGCACGCACGCACGCCTCCTGCCCATTCTGGCCCTCAATTAGGAAAATGGTGACTGCTTTATTCCCACGTACGTCACCCCCTCACCCGTGACTCCTACCCGCTCCCCGTGCAGCCTGTGCTGCTGTCCCAGGTGGGCAGGGTGAACCCTTGCACAGACAGTGGCGCCAGGTGCGTTTGGAGCCCTAGAGCATGCCACTGCCTCAGTGCCGGTGGGCCCAGCACAGCTGAGCTCCCCTGGCTGCTGGGAAGAAGCCGCTTTTGCAAAGGTGCCGGGTGGAGCAGAATGTCCCTGATGCAGTGCCTTACCCTGCCTGTGCACAGCCCAATGTCTCCATGGCAGGCTTGGTGCTCAGGTACCTGCTGCGTGAGTGGCATTGGCATGACAGCAGCAGGCGGAGCAGGTAACAGTGCCTTTGTTGCTTAGTGCAGCATCCTGTGACCGCTCCCCAGTGCCCGCTCTGCCTCCCGTTGCTCTCTGGGACCTATAGTCTGCCATGGGCATGGGCCGGCAGCAGAGAATGGGGACAAGACTATGGTCGCCAGGATGCTTCAGGCACACAGCCATAATTATCAGCTACAACAACCCAAAAAAGCCAATAGCCAATAACGTTGTTTCTCCTTCGATCAGTGCCGATCCGATAGCCACCAGATATATCGGTGCACCCCTACTTTTTTATGTCCCTCTGAAGTGGCTTTCTTAATTAGGCATCACCTTAGTTTCCTTCCCCCTCCCCCACAGTCCGCTTAGCTTTCTGTAGGTAAGGAGCACGTTTTAATGCTCGATTCCCCTTTCCTAGTCCCTCTCCATTCTGCGGTTTCTACCCTCTGCTACAATGAGCCGAAAAGGTAATAGCTTACAGGCAGCGGTGCAGCAAGCTCATAGTATCCAGGGCAGGGGGGCATATGCAGACCACTGTAGCAGGGGCCAGGGGAGGGAAGTCTTACCTGCCCAGGCGTTCTGCACAGGGAAGGCAGCTGCTACTGCTACTGCTGCCATTTTATTGCTGCTGTGGTAGAAAAGTGGTAGCAGTAGCAATAGCAGCTGCCTTCCCTGTGCAGAGTCCAGGCAGCAGCAGCAGAGAAAAAGAGAGTCTGGAGGTGGCAGCCTGTGGCGTGTACAACCTGGGAGCTGACCCCCCCGCCCCAGATATGACACTGGGTGCAGAGCCGCTGCTACTGTGAGAAAAACTCCCTGGAGGAAGGGGAGCATTATCACAATCACCCCCTCCCTCTCTGCCCCCGAGGTGTACTGCCAGGTGCAGGGCTGTACTACCCAACTCCTATTGCCAGCAGTGCAGGGCTACCTCTTCCATGGTAAAAGCTCCTGGGGGGGCAGGGGGAGTGGAGAGTCTGGCATTGTTTCATAGTCAACACCAGGGGCTAGTGCCCCACTTGCCTTCCTCTCCCCATGCCTATTTACACGACTGCTTATGGGGGTGTATTGACAGGAGCGTTGTATGCAAGTCATAGGAAGTTATTCTTCCACACCGTTCTGCACTGGCGAGGCCTCATCTGGAGCGCTGCATCCACTTTTGGGTACCATACGTTAAGGGAGCATGGATGAAATGGAAGAAGGAAAGAAGACACAACTAAAGGTGGGCGCTGGGTACATTCTTTCTTCATCTGTTGCTTAAATTTTTCTTTTCTCCGTAGAAAGAGGATCTCCAAATATATGAAAAATACTGTCAGAATAAGCCAAGGTCTGAAGCTCTCTGGAGGCAATGTGCAGACAACCTCTTCTTTCAGGTACAGTTGTTATGGACGGGTGGTGCAAATCCATTAGCTCCTGTTTTCCTTCTGTAGCTGTTCTCTCTTGCTGCATTTATGTCACTTTTAAAAGACAGAGGAATATATTTATCTTAATGTAGCCATCTTTTAATTAAAGGAAGCACTCAGCTACTCAGTTCACTGTCTTACACAACACCATTGGTAGACAGATGGAAGGATAGATGGATTTCTTTGCTTGTCAGCATTCATTGAAATTTGTAATTAAAATGGCAAGGGGCTGGTCTGTTCTTTAAGATCAGGTTGTTGAAATTTCACCAAAAGAAGTTGCAAGATTTCAACCACAGTCTTGCCTGTCCATAGACTTTAACGCTGATTCAAAGGTGTTTATATACTCTACACAGCCTGGAAATGCCATATCTGAATTGGATGGTGAAATCTGGTGTACGCCGAACTGGAAGTTGTCTTGATGAATCGATCGATGCTTCAACCTCCAATTATCTGAACCTTAGTTCAAGTCTCTGTGCCCTTGCTATGTTTCTGAGAATCACAGTGGTTTTTAATCCCCTTTTGTTTTTTCATCTTACAGGAATGCCAGCGTAAATTGGATCATAAACTCTCATTAGATGCGTATCTCTTAAAGCCAGTTCAAAGAATCACAAAGTACCAGCTGCTTTTAAAGGTAATTAAGTCTGACAGACGTTCGGTATAGAAAGGTAATGCACTGCTGGAGAATCTTGCCTTCTCTTGCCGTAGTTTGGTATTATGCAGCAGCGTCCTGTCAGAGGGCTGCGCCTGAAAGAAATTAGTTCTCTCTATCAGCAAATACCTCACTACATTGAATTAACACGGTAGAGAAACAAGCCGATCCAAATCTGAACTCTGGTTAAACGCAGTTTTTGGATTCAGTACTACTATTGCACTAAAAAGAAAAAAGTCACTGTTAAGGTTTTCCATGATAGATTGTAATGTACCAATTTTAATGAGATATTGCAAATGATTTAATTAGAGCAAGGCATGGTCTAATGGCCTGAGCATAGGACTCTGTGCCATAATTTCCCACCCTGCTCCTGGCTTCACTGGAATCCATGGCAAAACTCAACGAATGAAGGAATTTCAGCCTTCCAAGCCTTTGACCCCTGATGTTTTTTCTCCAGTTGTGGATAAATTACTCAAAACAACATTTTCCAAAGGAATCCTCTTACTTTGGGCAGGTCCATTTTGAAAGGCCCAGCCTGGAGCAGATTGGATCTCATTTTGAGAAATCCTGAATATTTCAAGCTCCTGTTAGACATCAGTTGGGATTGGGAGTGATCCAGACCACCAACATGCAGGCCCAAAATGAGCAACAAGAAACTGAAGCAGCAAAATGGTGGTCTTCACTTCTGTGTCCATCTTCTCAACTTGAACGAAGGGATAATTATATTTATTCACCCATCTTACAGGGTTTAGAAAGGATTACTTTTTTATTGCTATGAGGCACGTTGACTGTTGATAATGCTATTGGGTGTCTATGCACATGCTCCGGGGTGGAGGGAGAGGCGCTTTAATTAGAGCGGCTCTGAGAGGCACTCTAATTGAAGTGCCCTCAGCATCACGTGTATTCAGCATCCCGAGCTTCAAAACGGTGGTGGAGGGGCTTTAACTAAAGCTTGTTCTATCAGCTTTAGTTCAAGCGCTCCTTCCACCGTTTTGAAGCACGGGGACACTGAATACACATGAAGTGGAGGCTGCTGGAGCGCGCTAATTAGCATGCTCCGGCAGACTTGCAGCAGACTTAATTAATTGAGTCTGCTCCAACGCGTGCTAATTAGCATGCTTCAGCAGCTAATTAGCACGCATCAGAGCAGAGGTGCTCATTGTGTTATAAAGTGCACTATGAAATGCAGTACATAAATCTAGGGCCCCAGTCTCAGTTGGTATAAATTGGCGTTGACCCACTGAAGACAATGAAGTTGTACCAGTTTTCATCATGTAAAAGTCCGTCTCCTCATTTATTTATGTAGCACTTCAATATCGTACTGATAAGCCCCTAGACTGAAGAGTCCTCAATACACTAAATGCACCAGATTTAACACTGGTGCAATTTCACGGACTCCACTGGCATTACATCTCCTTGTCCTAGGGATCAATTTGGTTTTGTTATTTCCAGTTGCTGGAAGTGATATCACTTGAAAGGAGGGAGAGAGAGATTAAAATGAACTTTCGAGGTCTCTGCACGAGCAGTGATAAACTCTGCTCTAATTGTAATTTTAAAATATATCAGTAAACAAAGTGAGATTAGATGAAAGTGAAGGTCTCAGGCAGACCAGGTAGAGCCCTGGACCTCTAAATGGGTCAGACCAGTTCTGTACACACCTACCAGCATATGAGGAAAGGCATTTAACACATCAGGAATTTGGAGAGCACCACAGAGGCAGGTCCCTGAATCCCCTGAAGTAGGAGGGGAAAAGAGGAGTGCATCTAGAGAGTCTTCCCCCATTAGAAAAGGGGGCACATTACAGAGGACACATTGCGAGTAATAGGGAGATCACCTTTGGAACCCCAGCTCATAATTTTTGTATCCCAGCTTGGTTAATATTAAATATAAGCCTACAAATGACATGGTTCCAGTTCATATTCATTATAATACTGGGGATCCCACAACAGGTAACAAGAGCGCACCTCACTTTTTCCCACCTGAAGTATAAGCAGCGATATAGGTGAAGGCAGAGCCATATGACATCGAGAGGGCTGAGTTTGGACGAACATTTTTTTTCCAGCTTCTATCTGCTGTGGACACATGTGAGCACCACATTTGAAGACAGATGTGAAGAAGCTGGAGAGAGTCCAGGGGTGGGTGACAAAAGGGAGGGGAATGTAACCTGTATGAGAAAAAGGTTGAGAAAACTAGGTGTGTTTAGCCTGGAGAAAAGGCGGCTAGAAGGGGACATAGCAGCTGCCTTCAAATATTTGAAAGGCTGCTGTAAAAAAGAGGGAGAACAACTTTTCTCCTTTGCCCCAGAGGGCAGGACACAAAGCAGTGGCTTTAAATGACCTTAAGGGAGATTTAGATTACATCTCAGGCAAGGCTTTCTGGCTGTTAGAAGTGTTAAGCAGCCGAACGGACTGCGCAGGGAGGCTATGGCATCTCTTCACTGGAGGCTTTGAAGAGGAGACTGGATAAGCATTGGTCAGGGATGATTTAGGAGCAGCATCCCTGCATTCATGCAGGGGCAGGGCTGGACGACCCCCGAGGCCCCTTCCAATCCCACGAGTCTCAATTCCAAATTAAATGCAGCTGAACCTGGGCGGAGCCGCAGCCGAAAGCAGAGCGCTGAAATGTGGGAAGATTTCAACCCACGACTTTGCAGGATGGGCTCATCTTTGCCAAGTTTTGCTTGGTTAGGTGCAAAAGTAGACAAAACGATTACTCCCCCATAGCTCAGTTAACATTGGCTGAAACCGTGATGCCGGAGGCTTTCTAAACCTCACCCACGTTTGGGGTTTGTCACAAAACCAAGTGAACGCTCAGGACATCTGTTTCATGTAGCAAACAGTAATTAAGAGGGAGGGCATGAGTTCAGCTAGCATCCTGATTCCTAATTATTTTCGAAAATATAGTGCACAGGCTGTACTGTTCTTAGGCCTCTTGTTGGCAAGTTCAGAGGCAGAACTGAACCTGGCAGAGGTGTTAATATTTAGTGCCGATGCCATTGCCATACCTGTTCCCCCGTAGCATTGTCTTTTTGTGTTTTTGAAATGCAGCCCATTTATAGTCAGCCAAACACTGTGGTTATAGCAATGCTACGTGCATGAGGAAGTACCCAGTTAATAGCTATTAACAGGGAACCTGTCAGGACCTATAAAGCTAATTGAAAATAAGCTGTTCCTGTGTGCTTTATATGTTGGTATGACAACAAACAAACAGTACTTCAACCCAACCGGTTAATAAATGAATCTTCGGAGCAGCAAAAGCAGGAGCCAACAAACTCGACAACAGCTGCTTAGTGTGTTGCTTTCGGTAGTGCCAACGTGCGTTAGCAACCTGGTCCTGCGCGGTGCTGGCTGGCCCTTCCGCGACCCTTTTTCATTTCCACTCCTCGGCC